CACTTCAAGACCACGGCCACACAGCCCGGAAGACCCACACCAGCCAAGGATACAAAGCTTCACCTGCAGCTAAGCTGCAAGCCCCAGCAATGCTCGTTGTCGGGCTTATGCGGGTTGTAGTCCAAAGGATCCAAAGAGCCTCAGATCAACAATCCTATTGTACACAGAAGACTGCAATATTCTTGTTTATCGCTTTGCTTCTCCTCAATAACCTGGAGGCCCTTTTATCTCAAAGCAACTAGTCTGTAATATCAAAGAGGGTTGAAGTTCACTTTGGGGAGTAACTGAAATGCGCCCCTTCGTAGGCCTGGCTTACATTTGTGGAAGTTGTAATCTGCTGGTTGGTTTCGTGGGACAAAATGAAAGATTTGGTTTGGCAGCTCCAGAAATCAAGGTGGAAGTGTTTTGCTTGAGGTTATTTGTAAACAGGAACAGAGGGTTTTTTTAATCATTTGTAGAAGAAGCTATGATTGGTTGGGTTCACACAGCATGCTAATCCCCCAGAGAACACCCATTCTGCATTAGTGCAGTGTCTGAACCCATCCAAGGCCAGAAACTTTTTTCCAATTCTCTTTTTCCATCCACTTCTCCCAGATTTCACCAATTCTTTCCAGGGAATCCATCCTTGTCAATTTTCCATTTGCCTGTAGTAGTTTCTCAGTGCAGCCAGAAATCTTCCTTGTTTCTTTGTTCCTGTTTTGGTGAGTTAAGTCGATCTTCTTCTGTGAATATTATTTGGCTCTGCAAGGGTATGGGGGGTCCTGACTGAGACCACCATGCATAGATTGAGGAAGTTGAATGCTGAAAACAATTGCACATTGGAGAAAAATTATCAACTTTTGTCCTTGCTTGAAAACATCAAGGGAAGCATTGATGTGGTCCTTCAAAAATAGGATGCTGGGCTAGATTTTTGGATGAAGCTTGGAATTAAGCCACATGGTTATGCATCTGTACAACGCATTCCTGCTTGAGAAGGTCTGTATTTGTTTGACGTTTCTCTGCGGAAGCTCCTACATCAAGAACAAATCTTTTTATAGAAGGTTGAAGGATTTTGATGAAGTGGTTCTTAACTTTTTATGAGACCTTTGGAATAACAAGACTGACAGCCCCGTCCTTGGAAATCAGCAGGAAGCTGTCTTAAAGGAGTGTGAAACTGGTCTCTTTCAATCCTGAAATGAGGTTACTGCAGCAGAAAATTTTGTTTTAGGCGTATTGGACATCTCTGAATGTTTAATAAGAGTTGGTTGCTTTGCTGCTGGAAATGCGGTGCAGGAATGGTAACATTTGCTCATATGGTTTGGTCTTGTCCTCGTATTGCAAGTATGATCTGAAATTCACAGATGGTCATCGTGATTCCAAATACCCCCTTTTCTCCCCCTTTTCCAGTCATGTATCAGTTGTCCTTTCTGCTTTTCACTTTACTATAACAAAAAACATTCCTAAAAAGGTATGTTTTTTACTTCATGCAGGTGTCCGTCACCCTAACATCATCTGCAATGCTTGCAAGAAGCATGGCATTCGTGGAATGCGGTGGAAGTGCAAAATCTGTTTCGATTACGACTTGTGCCTGCACTGCTACATGAGCAACAAGCATGATCTTTCTCACGTGTTTGAGTGCTACGAAACCGCCCACTCGCAGCCGTAAGTTCTCTCAATCCCCTTCCCAGATTGGATTCTGTTGTGATACCCCCAGTTTTTTAAGAGAGAGGGCGATAAATGTAGCAGATGACCAATAATTTCTTCGGGAGGGCTGACAGCACAGGAACCTACACTGATCTGGAATTCCTGAGCATTTTAATCTTTTCATTGGCAAGTTGCTAGTCCTCATGAGTGCCCTCCCTGCCCTGGTTACAAGGAGTCTCAGTTGCTCCATCTGATGTTACCCTCAGATTTCTCCCTTGTGGCTAGAGCTTTTGAATGCTCAAGTTTTCCATTCAAGATAACCTTTTCCTCTTCTTCTGGTTGATAATCAAGATACTCATCTGCGTTTCCTGTCCATTTATACCTGAGGCATCTCCCTTCCCCCCCGACCCGCCCAATATTAAGAGTAGCCTCTAAAATCCTCCTTAAGGATTAGCAAATTGTAATTTTTAAAAAATTTTAAATTGTAGTCTAAAATTTTTTTTCAATTGCAATTTGTAAAAATTTTTAAATTCTAATTTTTTAAAACCAATAAAATTTTTAAAATGTTCGACGTTTAATTTTTAAAATTCTCTGAATTGTAATTTTTTAAATTGTAAATTGTGGCAGAAAGGAAAAACATTAAATACCTAAGTGAAGAGGGTCGTTGTACTAACTATCTTTAGTTTTCATTCAGTGACCCCATCCGTGTCTTCCGAAAGGTCACGTACAACCCTCAGGTAACCTTGCAGTTCTAATTCACATTAGAAGCAAGAGTTGGTCTTTTCCCACCTGGGCCCGATCGCTCTCCCCATCAGACGGCTAACTCAGAAGCCCAAATAGCAAGGCAAGCCTTCTGCAGCTTGAGCTACACGCCTCCCAGCTTTTAATCTGATTCAAGTCCTTTCTTTCCAAATCCTGCATGGCCATAAAAGCCACCGAGGCTCCTGCTGATTGAAGGAGGCCTTTAATCACCATTTATATTAAGAGCTTCACTTCCGGATTGGGGCTGACCCAGAAATTGCAGGGCTGGAAAATTTCTTTTCTATTGGAGGGAACTGCTGTTTATATAAAATGACCTGAAGCCTCAGGGGTTCAGAGTTTAGCTGTTACCTGTTGGAATAAGGTGATACTGGGCCAGAAAAGAAAAATTCAGAAGAGCAGCAGAGGGAATTTTAAAGCTCCACCTTAAGTTTTCATGCAGAATTGGGCCAGAAGATGGTAGCCTAGCTCATAAATTGGGCTTCCTGTATTTTTTTCTTTGTTTAGTAAATTAAATGTATCAAGGAACAAAGTTTGTTACTCAGTTTCAGCTTAGGTTTGCTGAGGAAGTCGCATAGTTTCTTTTCAACCCCCTACCCCATCCCTTCAGGTTTTTCTTAAACTTGGTAAGATAGTAGCAAAATTGCTTTTGTTTTCATTTTCCAGACTTTTTTCTTTTGGGGGGGGTCATTTTTAATTAAATAGTACAGAAAAAAAGAAAGAAACCCAACAACAAAATTATGTATGTGTGACAACACATTATGTGTGTGTGTGTGTGTGTAATAATATATTATTTTATTATATTTGATATTTATTAAAATTGTGTGTGCGTCTTGCTTTTTCTATACATTCTGGTCCTCATTTTTTCTTTAAATTTGCATTGATGTCTGAATATTAGTACATAAAAACTATATGCAAATGCCTCTCTCCTTCCTTCCTTCTTTCTCTTTTTCCCCCTTTCTTTCCTAATTTTTGGGGTGATATATAAACTTTCCCCAAATGAACTGTTGCGATAAGAAAGTAGTTCTATGAATAATTGTTTAGTCTCTAACTGTTGGCTGCGTCAGAGTATTATTTAAATTTTTATGCTTGTATCTCACTTTTAAAAACCCCATTTAGAGGAAAAAGTCTCTTCCACAATTCTAGTGTTGATTGAGGTTGCTAGAGCTAAGCAGGGATTAACCCCAGGCAAACAATCAAGCGGAAAACAATCAGGGAACTACCAAGGAGAAAACCACATCCCCACCCACACTGGCAGGGCAAGCTACTGTATAAAAACAGGGAGCAAACCCCACACTCCCTCGCACTGATGATGTTACCTAGTTGGGTCATGAGACGTCTGCAAGCCAACCACCAAGCTCAGAGAGCCCCAAGGACTCCACAGTTCAACCCTGAGCTACAGATATTCTCTTCTGTTGGAGATTGCTAGAGATTGAATAAGTAGCCTTATTAAAGGACCCTGAATCATTGCAGAAAATGTTTTCAGCTTCAGCGGTAAGCATCGGCCTAGCATCCAACAGATTAAAAAAACGAGGTCTATGATTTTCCTTGCAGAGTCACCGTAAGCCCACGGCAGAACTTACAACGCATCACTTTAAAGGGGATTTTTCAGGATGCAAAAGTAGTCCGGGGGCCCGACTGGGAATGGGGAAACCAAGATGGTAAGAACCTTTCATCTGAGTCTCTTTGCGGAATAGATCAGTTGCAGGGGTGAGTTGAGAAAAATCTCTCCCTTTCTCAGAAGACAAACTGAGCTTTTAACCTTTGTGGTCCTGGAGAAACATTTATAAACCCATGAAACGTCAAGAGCCAAACTTTCCCCTATAGAGTATGAGTTCTCTTATTTTGTCTTTTAACATCCCTGCTTGAGAAAAGTAGCATGTCAGGAGTACCTGAACCCCTTGCATGCTTCCTTTCTCCATGCAGGGAGCAATCAGATATTCATTTGTCCCCAAGAAAGGCAATTTTGCTGATTGGGTAGGCTGGATATAGCTCTATTGTATCTGTTTAAATGGATTAGGGTCAATATGGAAATAAGATTCTGAGATAATGTTTTCCTTTGCAAAGCTTAATCTAGTTGATCCATCAGAGATTATGTACCCTTCTGGGCATTTCAGTCTGATTTTTCTCAGTAAAGCCACAAAGAAAACCGTTTTGCAGATGGCATTTGCATTAAGACATTTTAAGTTCCGGCAGGGCTCCTGAGATGAAACCAAAGTTGGTTTTGTATATTTTTGTGGTTTTTTCCTTTCTTCTTTTTCAGTGCACACATTGCTCATTTGCTAAGCCTTTTTAAAAAGCTTTTACATTTGTTATCCCTGTTAATGGCTTCTTATTCTGTAGCAGGATCCACTTTGCAGAGTACTGTGATTAAACAGATAGAAGGCAAAATTATCTGTTTTTCATCTGGAGCAAAAATTAGATTCCCAGCTAAACTCAGAGCTTTTCAAAAGCATCAGACCCTAAACTTGTGAAAGTGTCTTTGGATTCACTTCCTACTTTAGGGCAAAAACTTGCCGGAAATCTTCTTAAACATATGGACAACATGAATACAGGTAGTTCCCGGGTTAAGAACGCCTGGTTTAGACGGCCCATAGTTAAGAATGGAGCCTACTGTCTTTGGATTCACTTCCTACTTTAGGGCAAAAACTTGCCGGAAATCTTCTTAAACATATGGACAACATGAATACAGGTAGTTCCCGGGTTAAGAACGCCTGGTTTAGACGGCCCATAGTTAAGAATGGAGCCTACTGTAGCAAAATTTGAGTTAAATACCCAATGGTTCGAGTTAATTACACAATACAACTTATACAGTATTATATAATAATACTGTTCCGGCTTACATACAAATCTGACTTAAGGACAGACCTTGGGAATGGAACTCGTTCTTAAACTGGGGATTACCTGTATTGGTGAGGAGTTACGAATATTGTCCAGGAAAGGAATGTATTTTCCACCTCATATCCTGACTTTTGGTTAAATTAATGCCGAAATGTAAAACTCGTGCCCCAAAATGCCTGTTCCTTAAATAAAGGAAAAGCAATGTTTCTGCAGCTGGAATATACGTATTTCTGAATGCTGAGCAACTCTGTTTCTCTTGCCAACAGGTGGTGACGGCAAAATTGGGCGCGTGGTTGATATCCGTGGCTGGGATGTGGAGACGGGGCGGAGCGTGGCCAGTGTCACCTGGGCCGATGGTACCACAAACGTCTACAGAGTCGGTCACAAAGGGAAAGTGGACCTAAAATGTATCACGGAAGCTTCTGGCGGGTTTTATTACAAGGAGCATCTTCCTAAATTAGGTATATGGGGACCCTTTTTTAAAAACATTAAGTGAAGGATGTATCGGCTGTTACTAAATCCAGTCCCCTCCCCTTAATCAGCTGGGCCTTGCTGAGAATTCTGGCTCCCTCTAGTGGACTGCAACTCCCATAATCATCAGCTGGGATTTGCTGGGAATTCTGGGGGTTGCTATCCAGTCCCTTCCCAAGTTAGGAGGTGGCTGTCACAATATAATTCACATCTAAATAAGATTGACATGAGTGTTACAGTAGTTCGACCGGCAGCAATATTTTTTTTCGCTAGTTCCCAGTTGGACAGAGCTGGCTCTGTTTGGGCTCTGTGCCCCTGCTGATAATCAGGAATCAAGCAAAGAGAAGGGATGGGTGATGAACCAAAGGATGAGGCCCTTCATGGTGGTGGGAAGAGGGGGCCATGTCACTGTCTAAATCCTGGTAGATAGCAGAATTTTATTCTTTCTGCTGCAAGAGACTTAATACTGGAACCCTTCTGGAAGGGAAGAAAAAACTCAGGCAATGTGTCTTAGAATGGAGGGGAAAAGGAACAAAAAAACCTTTTAGAAAGCAATCTTAAGAAGGGGCTTGGTAGAAAGAATCATGGAATGTTTTAGGGTCGGTGATTCGGATGTGCTGTTTGCTGCAAAAGCAGATTGCCCCTTCTTGTCCTGAGAAGGAGAAGGGACGAGAACACATCTGAAGCATCAGAGCAGGCTGGTGGTGACAGCCAACACCTTAAAGCCTTCTGGCTGGGTCTGATATTTTTGTGTTTTTTTAAATCTTCCCCCTCCCTGCCTGCCCCTGGTCCTTCTCCAGGCAAGCCGGCTGAGTTGCAGAAAAAGGAGAGCACGGAGGGGCACCCGTTCCAACACGGGGACAAGGTGAAATGCCTCCTCGACATCGACATCTTGCGAGAGATGCAGGAAGGCCACGGAGGCTGGAATCCCAAAATGGCCCAGGTAGGAGATCTCCATTTACCTAGACTGTATTTGGCAATGTAAATGTTGGTCCTTTTGTTGGGAAGGGGCAGGAACTTCCACAAACGTGCAGTTGGTCACCTTTATTCCAACAAAGAGGGCAATTGATCGTCCTGCTGTGAAACATCAAGGATGATGGGTTGTTGATTTTTTGCTTTTTCTTGCCAAGTGGTGACACTCTTCAGTTTTCCTCTCCCCACCTCACACTTCTTTTCTCTCTTTGCTTCCTTCCCACCCACCTTCCAAAGTTCATTGGCCAGACAGGAACAGTGCATAGGATCACGGACCGAGGAGATGTGAGAGTCCAGTTCAACAATGATACTCGTTGGACGTTTCATCCTGGAGCTCTAACCAAGGTGTGTAAAGATCATTCCCCTGGCAAAGGATCTGAAATTTGCACTCATCGCTCAGGGTGTCGGTTGACATGGAAGAAGAGGGGAACATTTTCAGATAGATAAAATTTAACTTGGGTTTGGCATGATGGAACTGCTATTGTTGAAGGCAAATGTTTTACCCATGAAATAACCGTGAGTCAGTTGGGCAGCCATATACATTGCTTAAATAAATAAAATAAAAAGTCCTCCTGTTTTAGAAGAAGCAGGATAAATCTTAGATTTCTCTTCTCATGTAGATCTCTCTAGGAATATCCAAGATAGGACAATACTCTCCTATTATATCCATGACTTAAGTTAAATAAAGAATTCTTTATTTAAGTTAAATAAAAACAGAACTCTTTGAGTAGAACAAAGACCGGATCAGAAAGAGCGATGCACCAATTTTGCAGATAAGAACAACCAAGGTTAGTGTGGAAGCCATTTTGCTTCCTTTGTTAAAACATTGGGCGCTAGAAGCTTTTGGAGATCTGAAACCAGGCCCTGTTTGGGGATAAAGTCAATTTTCTGAATCAGGGCAAAATAGCCAGACGCTTATGTGATGTGATCTTAGGACAAAGCATGTCATGAGAGCAGCTAATCAGTATCATGATTAGTGAAACATAACCTGGCTAGGAGGCAGCCCCTAAGCTATCTTTTCCTTTGTAGCTGAACACGTTCTGGGTTGACGATGTCGTGCGGGTGATCGATGACATGGAAACGGTGAAGCAGCTGCAAGCTGGTCATGGGGAATGGACGGACGAGATGACGGCGGTGAGTTCACCTCTCTTAACACCCTTTTTTTTTTCTTTCCTCGCATCGATCTAAATTTAAAACCATTTTTAACCATGTTCTCAACACCTTTCCAAAAGAACCAAGGGGCTGACAGGAGAGTCTGCTCCTGCCAAAATACAAATTAGCTGGTCCGCAGAATGTTCTCATTCGCCTCTCCTTCTCTCTGCTTCGACCGAATGAGACAAATCACCCAAGGTCTTTTCCTTTTCCCATTCACAGATCCTAGGCCACATTGGTAAGGTGATCAAAATCTTTGGGAACGGAGATTTGCGAGTGTCCTTCACCGGCCAGTCCTGGACCTTCAACCCAGCATGCCTCACAGCCTACCAGAGAGAGGAAGATGTCAACCTTATGACCACACAGGACACCAGGGAGTCAAAAAGTGAGGGGAAGCCTTAAACCAATTTTTTTTCAAAGGGGGGGCAAGGAGAGCATTGAGGATCACCTTTATGTAGCATTTAGAACAGCAGGAATTGGCTGAGGGGCGGTAACGGAACATTCATAGATATTCCAATAGCTCAGCGGAGGAAGCAGGGAGCCTTTGAATAACCAAGCTCTGATTATTAACCTTCCCACTGGGTAAAAGGGTGGATTGATATCCCAGGAAATGGGGTAGGATAAGTTCCCATGGATGCCGACTCAGCTTGGCACTCAAACTCTGTGCAGCGCCAGACTTTTTCAAAATCTTTTCAATTAAAATTGGGAAATGGACATGCTTGAAAGCAAAATGCAGCCCCACCTAATGGTGTTCTTCGTGGCCTGTGGCATCTCAGAAGCCTCCTTAAAAAAAAAAAATACAAGTCCATCGCTTATCATCCCTTCTGCTTTGGACTAGCCACATCCACGGGGGCAGCCATTTTGAGAATGGTTCTCCCCCCAAGACAGCCATTTTCTGAGTGCGACCACAACAGGGACTCCATGTTCCAAAGGTGCTTCCATGCCTTCAAATGTTGCTCATCCCAGAGATGGGAAAATCGTCATGGGGGAATCTAGTGGGGTCAAACATGATCTCTTTAGCACCGGAAGATCTTGGATCTTGAGTCCCTGCGCTAGGCTTCTCAAGCTGCTGGTGATATTTGACTCCCTCATTCCTCTTCCACAGGTTCCTTGGTTTCTGTGGTGGGACGGTTACTTTCCCAAAAAATTGAGGCCGACAGTCCAGGCTGCCTGGTGGTTGAGGCAGCCCATGGAAACACCAGCAAGGTTCGGGACTTGATTCAGAAATACCCCGACAAGGCAAGTAGAGGAATGTTCTTTGGGTCAGCTCCAGATTCAGATAACTTAGGAAAAAGATCCCTCCCTCGCCTGCATTGGCCCATCCCGAGAGCACGCCGATGGCAGTGCAGAATATTGTCGAAGCTGTAAAAAATGACTTCCGAGCAAGGAGGCAGGCGAGTCTCTCCGGAGAGAGAAATCCACACAAGAGGAGTCGTGCGGAAATAACGTTCCATCAGGGGTTCTTAAGCTGGGGGTAATTTGGGCAGATCTCAGGGATAACCAAGCAGTTTGTCACTTGGCATTTCTGAGTCGAGGCTCCAGTTTGGGACTGCTGCTG